TTTTTGCTTTAGTAAAATACTTGAGATGAGAAATATACCTCTTATCTGCATGCTGATATCTGTATTTCTCTGCTGGGAACTAATTTAAACACTTCATGAGAGATTGACATTTTTAGCGCCTTAAACATCCTTAAAAGCTGCCTTGTTCATTGCAAGCCATATTTAGTATGACCTCATAATAATATAGCACACCTCAAGTGTCATGCCTGTCTTTACTATGCACATTGGAGCTGTGTTCGTCTATACTAGACAACTGCACTTCAAGGAAAGATATTTTTTTTTCTTTGATAGGCAATTAGCAGTAATTAGGAAGATTCACTTCAGTAAGATGTCAACATGAGATTGTTTAAAAAAGTTGAATGTCAGTGGCTTTAAGAGGTTTTTTTTTTCCTGACACATAGGTATGGCATGTGAAACATGAAATGTTAATTTAACTTTTCTGCTTATTATTCATGCACAATATTATTTTGTCATTCAGATACTACACTGACAGAGTGCAAAGGGTGTTAAAATAGTGCTGCTAGAATAAAAAGAGGATTAATCTACCATTGGCCAATTAGCCAAAGGGTACTTAATGGTCTCTAAAGGCTACTGAAGTCTAACAACTAGCTAAAGCACTGAAAAAGTCCTCTATATTACCTTCATTTACTTGACATTTTGTGAAAGAGAGTCAGCTGCTGATAACTGCATTTGGCTGAAAAAGAAATTACAATAGCAATACAGTAGATTTTACTAAAATTTTAGAAGAATGAATGACAAATTACTTTTACATTTTAGAACTTTTTCTTGCTTTTGGGGGTCTTTGTTTCAACTTAGGGTTACAATATTAAGTCACCAAAGACTTCTCTTTCATATTTTGTCTTCATGTCTGGAATACTAAGTAATCAACCACTTACAGCGCTTGCTTGAAAAAAACTTTCACTGAGGATTTGGAGTTATTTGCCTTTTGTCTATATGATCGCATTAAGTATGCAGCACAGTTGGCTTTTTAGTCTGGTATATATCTTTTTGTATTTTCAGATAGCTGCATACCATCTTTATTAATGTTAGCTTTTTTTTCTGTGACCCATCAGGCAGAGGTAGGTTTTGATTCAAGAGAACAAAACAGGGTCAAGATTAGTGGGACTGACTCAATAGATTTTGCCTTGGATGTTGTAAATAGGTTTATCATTATGTTATAAAAACATTTGATAGAGTGTGTAAAATCATAAATACCTCACTCTGTGCCTGCAAATATGTTTTCAAAAGTTCTTTCATGGTTTATGTATGCAACAAGTACTGCTTATCTTGTATATTTTTCATGATCAAGCTAAAGCTGTGAGAAAATAGCATTCTGTTTAAAACCTTCAGACAAGCAGTGTTACATTTTGAAATAAAACGTGGTACACGAGCTATGCATATAGCAAATATATTTTATTACCTACTGTAGCAAGGTTTCTCAGTGAAAAGAAAAAGGATTATGTTGACTTCATGTTCCTTACAGACATCTCTATGCACACTGTAATGTTTTTGTCTGCCAGGATTTTAGGATGGGAAGCTTCATAGCAAATATGACTTTTACATATCTGAGGATATTTAGATTAGTTATAGTTGGATTACAAAATTATTAATAAAATAAGTTTATGTCATTGCTTAAAAAGGGTTTCAAGAATACCTGATTTGCATCCTATTTTATAATTTTGCCTAGAAATACATTCTGTATAATATATGCTGCAAATATAAATGTGTGGGAACACATACAACAGTGGCAGTGCAATAGCAGCCACCACCAACAGAAGTGAAATTTTCATACATGCCAGTTGCAGTAGGAGGGCAACTCTGCTGTAAGGTGAGCTAGAAGTTCCTCACAGGGTTGTTGTAATGCTGAGGAGCAGTAGGCCGTTCCAGGAGCTGCCTACGTTAATCCACTGGGCCTTCCACATAGCTTTCTTGCTGAACAGAGGGCTTATGGTAAAAAGACTTGCTGAGTCACTGGAAGTTTTACATTGACTACATAGGAATGGTGATTTCATCACTTATCCCTTTGTGTACAGCAGAACAGAGTGTCATGGGTAAACCAGGAGCAAGGATTAAGATAGATGGATGTTAAAATATTGAATCTATAAACATCTGTTAAGGCAAAACACTCTGGAGGAGGTGCAGCAGACAAAGGCCGCTACATTGTGGAGCAACAGCGGTAGCCTGCCTTTACCAACATCTGTTCTAGCTGGTGTTTAAGATTCTACCTTTCATCCTGGTGACCTCTTCCCCTGGAGTAAATCCTTTTTACTCTGTCACTCAGGATTTGCGTGCATGGTAGCACAGACACAAAAAAACCCCTCCTGTGTCAATAAAAGAAAAAAGAACAAAAGACTTGACCTAAAACTTAGCCAGTGGTGAGGGACAGCAGGGCAATGAACTTGCTTCTTAAGTAAGTAGGTGCAAGGAGTATCTTTTAGGCATAAATATCTTGCCAGGGCAGGGGGGCTGTTTTTCACATCCTACACAGGTTCACATAGAATTTTCACATACCTTCTCAATATATTGCAAATAGAAGAATAATGCAATAGAATTATCAGCCCAGTAACACCATTTACATTGTCACCAGAACTTACAACTTTCTTGCTATCTCTGGTTGCAATTGCCTGCCTGTCTTCATCTGCTTTTGCAAGTTGGGGGTGTTTGCCTTTTACATCATATACAAGTATTTCTGATGCTGTTTCTGAATTTATGTACATTCATATTTTAAATATTTTTTTCTACCTCCTCACTTAAGTAAAGTCTATAACCAACATAGCACTGTCCTCATTGGCATCTGTTCCATGAAAGCTCTTTCTTTTTCAGTATATTTGCTGTAATTTTGGGGAATGTGGCCACGGCAAACATGGCATTTTAGACCAGATACATTTGGCGGCAGCAGTAGCCTGAGTAACTTCTGAGAGTCACGAGCTATCTTGAGCAGATATGGGTGCATTTCTAATTTTAATCAGAGATATTGATCTAGCTATGATTTTTTTTTGCTTTTCTTTTTATGAATAATTTATTATAGAGACACTGAATCATGAAATTCTGCATGTAGAAATATTGGCTATACTGGACAAATTAACCTAATTCTTGTATCTTTTTCTATGTGTCTTTCTGTACAACTACTGGTTTTGCTTACTAAAGTATCCTTCATTTTGTCTTTTACTCAGACTGTATTAATTGTGAGAATAATATATCAGATTAAGAAATAGCCAGTTAGAAAATACATTAACACTATTTAGCTCTTGTTTAATAATGACAGCAGATGCAGAAGAGAATGGAAAGATTAACCCCTTTACTAAGAACAGTACTTATCTCAGATAAATACGTAAACTGCCCATTGGCTTTAATAAATGCACTTAAGTGTAAAATACTCTTAAGAGTTTTAACTTTAAATACAGGACATGTTTTCTTGTAGCCATGATATTTTTTTTAAGCTAATGCAAAATACAAGAACTCTTATGTCATTCATAATGTGAATAAACATGACCATAAGTAGTTTTTCTTTTATTTATATATGTATATATGATCTTCAGACAATCAGTATGGAAGCGTCTGTGTATATAAATGCATGTCTATTAAAAGTTTTTTCTAGTAACATCAAACAGCATAAAATCTATTTTTGAGTTAAATAATAAAATGCTTGGATATAGAACACTATCTTTAACCTTCTCAGCCGTGTTTTTTTGTATACCAGCGTATAATTGGGCACACATTTAGTCATTTCAAACTGTAACATCTTCTCCAGTTTCTTAGGGATTTTTCACAAGAGAAAGGTTTTTTGCCCTTTGAGAGATTTCAATACCATTTTGTGTAACTGTTCCTTATGTTAAACTACCATATTACAGTCTTCTTTGGAATAATAAGATAGTACTGTAGTTACCTTCTTAAGGAGCGGAGAATTGTTAGACCGTTGGTGGCTTTCGGCTGACTACAGATTATGAAAGGTAACCACCAACATGAAGATTATTTCAATTCCCCTTGTCACAGAACAACTTTCAATATTATTTAAATTAAAACAAATATTTTATTAAAAGATTGCCTTTATAAGGAGTAATGTGAAATATATTGTTACAAAGATTGAATAAGTCTTGTCAGATGTCAATCAATTGCAACAAGACTGAGAGTTTGTTTGCATGTTATTTATTTGAACTAAATCCCTAACAGGCCTTGTCTGCTAATTGGACTTAGCATTTATGTTGCTAAATGAGAAGCGTTTTGGCTGCAGTATAGGGTGGTAAGACCTACCCAGTGGAATAAACAACTAACATCTGTTATCCTGTCCTGCTCCAGCTTGGCTTTTACCACTTAAGTACCTCAGCCCTAGAGTCAAGGTTATGGAATATGTGGTTCTCTGGCTATGGTGCCTATATGTGAAAGGGAAGAAATAACACAACATGAGTAAAGACTAGCCAACCAGAAGATATTTAGTGCAGCTGGTCCACTTTGCTTTAACCTCTACAAGCCCTACAAATATCAAAACAAAAGCCAAGAGAAGGGTGTATGTTTTATAGCAGCTGTCAACACAGAAATTCAAGTCAGCTTACAGTGGTCACCATTAAAACAGATTTGACATTTAACCACCTTTAATACGTATTGGTGTCTGAGACACCTTGGTATTTCTTCATGCTTTGTGTAGAAATAATTGGAGAATCCCAGAGAGGCCCTAGGTAAACAGGTTTCAATAGTAAATACTGTTACAGTTCTGTGTGATAATTTTTGCCTGTCGTGGTAAAAATAACAATGTGTACAGTCAAAATCGGATTAGCTTGCCTTTTTAAAAAAATTGCTTGTTTTTAATGTTAGTTGACTTCTCTTTCCTGCCAGATTTGATCTTTGCTTGGACTAGAGAATTCAACCAACCACTATGCAATATAATTACAGATAATATATACTGTTTCATTCATCTTGAACTCTGAACCAGAGAAGCATCTTACATGATCAAACAGAAATATTTTAGGACACAATTTTGATTGTTTCTTCTGTTTGTAAAACAGGTGTTGACCTCCAACCTGGCCAAGTGGCAACAGGAGAAGGAAGATTTACAAGGAAAATTGAAGTTGAGAGAACATCTGTCTCAAACTGCTGGCAAGAGTGAAGTCATACCAGCTCCTTCAAAGAACATTGATTTAGAGATGAAACAGCTGCAGTGCAAACTAAAGGTGACAGAACAGATTATCTAGTGCTGAGGATAATTAATGTGAACAGTATTTCATAACTGGGTCAAGCAGATATACATATACTCACATATGTATATCATTTATATATCTTAGCCAATGATTAGCAACCTAGATGTTAGATAACCTTTGATATTAAGTAGAAATGTAGCCATAAGCAGGAGAATTAAAAGTTACAATTAAAACTATTTTTGCAGATCAAATAGGCCAGACAGGGAGGCTTGCTGGGTTTTCACACAATGATTAAATGCATCTTGTTGGAACGTGCTGTGGAATTACTTCAATGAGAATTGTGTTGATTCCTTGCTTCCTTTAAGAAGGAGCTAAGTAATAGCATAGAATTTGGGCTGATGGGGCAGCTCATGTAATGTGACAGTGTTATGCTTACCTATATGTCACTCCTGTTCTTGTCTTCAAAGAGACATCATTCTTTTCGTATTTGTATTTATGTAGATTACCTGTAGGAAGATACTAACTTGTTGATGATTTCATTTTCCAGTGTCCATTGATTCTGTTATATGTGGATGATGTAGATGCTGGACTGTGTTGATCTGAGAGCTTTCTTGGCAGGTGGCCTGACTCAGACATATTAATTCTTCCTCTCTTCTTACTGGAGGAAATATATGTGCAACAGAATGTCTTAAAGTTGTTTTTTTCCATCATTCTATGTTTAATATTTGAGGAAAGAGAAAAGGTCAAATTGGTACAGCTTCTTGCTGCTGGAAGAAATGGCACACTAGCAAGCCAGCTGCCAAAGGATCAACTGGAAGAAAAGGCCATATTACATAAGCAATATAGCTGACTCTGGCTCTGAGTACTGGATTAGCTCTGCTAGCACACGAGATGTGGGTAGTGCTTAGACCTCTTAGCTGTTGATGGTAATCATGGTATTACAGATCTTGGCTATAGCACACTGGATGCGTAACATCTAAATTCGGGGATTAGTAAAGGTAGGTCACATTGATAAAGAGATGAGGGCAGCAGGGAGTAGCCATGAAAAGGCACATAATTTGATCTACTTTAATTATGAGAAAGAGATCTTGAAACCGTACACGCTGACTTCTTTAGTGTTGATTTTAGATTTGGGTTTGACTAATCTGCTTCTGTTGCTAGTGAGTGGTAATTTCTGTTAATTAGGGTTGTTCCTTTTAGATGAGTGTCCTCATTATCCAGAAACCTAATAGTTGTTTGCTCTATGAAAGTAAGAAAAATAAATGATTTTTTTCTTTTTGTAAAATACTCTAAGAGTAACACTCACACTAGAAGCCTCCTTTATTTGTTTGCCAGATGTGAATTGCAAAATATGTTACTGAAAAAATCAAAGTATTTTTGTTTCTGAAGCAGAGGAAACATCTAGCAAACGTATATAAATCTATTGTCAAAAATACTAACATGACTTTTAATTCCTTCTTAATGGAACAAATTACATTTTTAATGGAAAAAATAAACCATGTATGCAAAACTACATTTAGAGTAAACATATTCTGTGACCCCAAATCCAGATTAGTAGAGTAAATTCACTGGTTGCTGAATTGGATGAGATGTAAGGGCCTCAAAAGCTACTTAAATCAAGTTACTGAAATTCTTAGCCTTATTTTGACCTAAAAATTTTTCAAAACTTAAGTCCTGCAAATCATTTTTAACAGAAGAAATTGGCAAAAGTTGTCAACTGTTGTTCCAGGCTATCTAGCATACTTGAAAAGGAGATACAAAGTCATTCTCCTAAATGTCTGAAATGGAAGCTGCAAAAGCTTTCCATATAGCTCAAAATCTCAAAGTACGTGGTTTTGTTGGTTCTTTTTTTTTTCTCAGAGCTATGTTTGCGGTGTTTGTTTATGTTGTAGATGATGACTCCTTGTATCTTTGCCAATAGGAAAAAATGTGTTAGGTGTGGATAGTGAGTTTGGAAGCAAAATGCCATAAGCATATGTCTTTGCCTGTGAGCATGTGCAGAGGCCCACCTAAGTATTCAAGTTTGTTTCTGGTGTGTAAACCATGTAACTGGGTGCTGTGCTTCACGCTAATGAAGCTCAAGCTCAACAAATGGGTCTCAGGAAACTCAGGAATATTCTGCTAGCATACATCATTTTAACATTTTTCTGGTTATACCTCACATTATAATAATAGTAAATAGACTAGACAAGTTATTAAGAACAATATTTTACATCTAACTATGCACACAAGAATATATACTCCCCTTGAGGTAGACAGAGTTATGTACAATACTCCTATTAATGTTAATAGGCGTTACAGGTCTGCACTGAGCAGAAAAATTCTCCTGAAGTATCTTTGTTTACAGCACGTCTGATCTGTTCACTTATTGTTTATACGTAATGAATAAAAAGCTTTAGTACAGTGGCTGAACCTGAATGGATATATGCACACATATATGTTGTGTGTAGACTTAATGCATATATATAAATCTTTTGGCAACACCTTCTGGACTTCTGAAATCTCTATAAGCGGTATGTTTGAGCTGCCCTTTTCAGCAATGGCATTCAGTGCATATGCTCAGATTGCTAAAATGGCTACTTAGTTAAATTTTATATTTTTATTTCTGTAGAGTGATTCAGTTGTTCTACAGCTAAATCTTGGGTAGATTATCTGTGTGTTTGGATGGACAAATTGAGGCTTTGTTTTTTTCTTCCTACTATATGCAGCGAGGAAAGGCCAACAACTGTGTAATTCTCCTTCATTGGAATTACACATGCCTGAAACTTAGGTTCGTACCTTTTTGTACTGAAATATAGGAATTGTGTTAGTATGGCCAAATGGAAATTTCTTTGTCTTGTGCTTTGAGTTTCAAGGGACACAAAAAAACCCTGCTCTTGTAGAATGTCTTGTATTTCCAAATGCACAAAATGAAAGCAATTATTGGAAATTGTTGCTCTATAGATGTAGGCCCCTTGTGCTGTAGAACTATACCATTCAAGGATGTAGTTCAAATGAAGATCCGATTTTATTTCTCCTCTTTTCTGTTACCTTTTCAACTGACCATGCTATGCAAGAGAAAATGTGGTCCTGATAGGTGCACTGGGCTTGCAGGTGTCCTGGGGAACATCTATTAATCATACATTATTAGAGTAATGGAAAAGTACTGATTTTGATCGTATTTTCTAAGGAATGTACTTTTGCTTAAGTGCAGCTAGAAAGTAAGTGTGCTGCTTTTGTATCAATTAATGTTTAAGAACACTCACAAAATATGTGGAAATTTACACAGCCCATTATTTCAAACAAATTTACTGTTGACTGTGATGATATTCATTCTTCTTTATTTATATTTTAATATTTTTCACTATAGAATTCGAATAATGAAATCACTAAGCAGTCAACCACCATTAAGTCACTAAAAAACGAAGTCCAGGTAAAAGAAGAACGGATTCGGGAACTACAGGCGAGGTATGTTCACTCTTCTATCCATTGTGTTTGGTGCCACCCAGTGGCAGCTGTATAATTGTTACAACATTAACCATTCTTAAATAGATTTTGAAGAGAATGTTTTATTATTCTTCTTGCAGACTGTTACAGGGCTTTTTTTAGAAACTAGAGCAGTACATGCTAAAATTTCGTTTTGTTTAAATGGATGAGTTTCTAGCTAGGTACAGTATCTGAACTGCAGTAAGAATACCTAGACCCTAGAGTAGACTATTTTATCCTTGATGTAAATCTAAATGAATTCCTCAGCACTGTTAAATACAGTCTTTCAAATACAGTAATTCTTTGCCTAGGGGCTAAGAGATATGTCAAGGTTCAGATGCTTAAACAAGATTAAATATCCCATCTTCTATTCATATAAAGTTCAAAAGGACAGTTGTATTTGTTTCTATGTGAATTGATCAAGGTTTACTACTCATTTTGAAATTCGCATGTATTGTTGTGAAGTATGCAACTGAGATTTTTATTCTACCGACTTTAACAGATATAATACTGCTCTTCAATTATATTACTATAAAAACATAACCTATTAGTATATCTATGAATTTCCTGCCTGTCCCACAGTTTAACTCCTCTAACCATTCTATTTTTTTTATTTGTAGAAAGAATGCAATTTACATATCTGAAATTAGTTCATTTCAAAAATAGAGAACTCTTAAAACAGTTAAATTGTGTACACTGTGTATTTTCTGTTTCAAAATTAAACTGAATTTTTCCACTGTAAGACTTAAATTTAAAATAGAGTTACTGGTTATCATGCTTTCTTTATAAAATAGATACTGTTTTTTCATAAACTGTAAGATATAATCACCAAAATAGCATTAAGAATATAAATGTGAAATAGATGCAAGAAATTTTAAGGTGCACTATTGTCCTGATCCTTAAATACGGTATTGACATGGTATCAGCAATGTTTTATTCCTGAACATATTGCCATTATTCATTTTGCTCTCATTAAAAAAAAAAATCCAGACATCTGAACATATTCAGGTACTGTTTATGTTTATCTTTAAAATACTAATTTGTTTCATAAGGATGGGGACATTGTATAAAGCATAATTTTCTCATTGAACAGATTACATTGTAGTACATGAGAGTTTCTTTTTTTGAGAAGCTTCTGAAAAATGCTGATGTTATTTCCAGGTTTTGCAGTTTTTAAGAATAAGTATCTTATCTGAAATATTATTGGGGTAGTGATTTTTCATGTATTTCTGTGTATTATTCAGTTGGATGAAAGGAGACTTCACCCTTTCACTTTGCTTTAAAAATAAATTTGTACAAAATAGTGTTTGAGTGATACCTGCTTCAGACATCAAAGGAACATAATTAAATTTTGTTTTCAACAGGTTTTGCCTTTTTTGATAATAACTTAAGAAGAATTATTATGATTTCAGATCAGACATGTTAGAATATAAACCACAGCAAAAAGCAGATCACAAATAAATTGCCTATTTAGAAATAGGTCTGTTTAATCAGAGACTTGAAACTGGTTTTAGTGGTTGATAATAGGGTAAATTGCAAGAATTGCATCAGCTTTTGTTTTAAAAAATATTCTAAAGCTACAGGAATGATAGTTTGTCTGCTGCATTTATACTTTTTAGTTGTATAAAATAGTTGCTTATTAACAATATTTTTCTAATGGTGACATGCAACATGATTTCTTCCCTTCTAGGATTTCTCGATTGGAGAGGGACCTTAATATGAAAAGACATTTGATAGAAGACTTAAGGTCTCATCTAAAAGCAAATCAAGAAAATGAGAAAACCTCTAATGAAACATTAGAAAGTCTTGAGAGGAAGGTAGTTCTTTCTTGCTGTTGATAGTTTTAGGAAAAGCAAAAGCTGGTGGATTTACAGATGTTATTTCAACACGCTATACATACTAAATCAATATATTGCTTTAAGCAAACATACAGTTAATTTCAGGGTGTAATTCCCTCCACTATAATTTGTATGAAATCAGTATATGGTGATAGCTCAGATGGATTCAGCATAATTTAATGTATGTTCATAAGAGGGGTAATTAAATATTAAAGTATTCAGAACACTGAGTTGCAAGGATATGCTGCAAGTAGTGAGATTTAGTTTTATGCACTGTAAGTTCAGAAAATACAGTAGACCTGAAACAAGGGTGATTTTACATGACATATGCTAATGAAGTCCACGCACCTCTCCTGGCTATAGTAGTTAAATGCTTTAATATGTTAATCTGTTGTCTTAATGCAATGTTATGAATGATTCACAGTTCTTTGCTTAATGTAATTCTGCCTGTGTAGGTAGAGCTTAATTTTTATAGCAAATTATTTTCTCCTGCAAAATTCTAGGACGGTTTCACTGAAACTGGGAGAACTTGTACATGCTTTGGCATCTTTCTATATTATCCAACCAGTGTGGCCTTTGACCTTCCATTCCAGCAAAAGATTATGATATTTGGTTGTCTGTGAGGTTATGAAGTGTATGATCCAAAAATAAAAAAAAAAAAACAATTTACCAATTTGCTTTTGTTTTCCTAGAACACGTGTGTTTGCAGAATACTACAGGCACTATCTCTGCTTGCGGTCATATAGCACTTTCAGCTCTAGAGAGAGCTACTCTCTTACCCTCCATGCCAAAGATAAGATGTTATTAAGAAATCCGCAGCCAGAGAGTGAGAGCATAAGTAAACAAGGGAGTTAAAGTGTGAAATGAGACCAATACTTGGTTTTGGTTTTAGACAAAAGATTTAGAATGGAACAATGTACTTCAATGCTGTTCTTTGAGTATTTTAAGTGCTGCATTTCTCAGATTCCAAAGAATTTAATTCCATACATTAATTTGTTTATTCCACGTGGAAAATGAACTTGATAAATTTTACATTATCTTCAGCAGAAGATCAAAGAAATTCCCTGTTACTCGACATTGTCAGGAAAACTTTGTGATTAATACTGTCAAGAGAGCTGAATGATTTTCTAGGAACATTGGTCTATTTCATTTTACCCAAAATCAGTGTTTGCATTGTACGGCAAAATGATGATATTTATCTAAGAGTCTTTACAGACTATTAACTTGGAGACAGTTACCATTTTCTCAGTCGAGTCTTAGTTAATATTTTTACCTCTGATAGAAGAAATGAGTGGAAGTTGTGCTTTTCTCCCTTATGTATGCACTGTAACAGTAAAATATATATAAACAAACAGCTCTGCAAATGAAGAGGTTTTCTTTACACTTAATATGTCAAGACTTTATGTAACAAGATTGTGTGCAAACTGATCTACTGCATCAGCAGTAGAGATTTATTAAAGACTGTAATTTCAGAAAAAGGTACTTCAATTAAATTATTTATATAATAGGTTTATTTATGCAATATAGGTAAGATAAGTTTTGATTTGATTTTCATTTTTAAGTTTTGTATCTAAATAGTCAATTGCTTTTGGCCTTTCATTATTTCAGGTAAAGGCACTGGCTGAAGACTGTTCGAAGAAAAAAACTTCCATTGACTCACTTAAACAAAGACTTAATGTAGCTGCAAAAGAGAAGTCTCAGTATGAGCAGATGTATCACAAGGCTAAAGATGAGTTGGAGAAAAAGGTATATTCGAGTTGTGATGGTTCCCACTGTGGAACCTTTTCATACCTCACTTTCAAATGAAAAGTTGTGAGGTCATCAGCTTAGACTTTTTAAATACAGAAAGGGAAAAAAGAGCAGAGTGATAGTAATGTGTTTCTCTGATTTAAGTCAGTCACATCACTGAAATTTAGATGCTGAAACATGGATGTAATGACTGAAAATGAAATTACTTTTTCACCATGAAAGTATATTGTATGTGTTGCAAGTAGAATGTTCTGTGATGTTAACCATTGCGTGGGAGATTGGTTTGTTTGTTCCTTTGTTTGTGGTCTACCATACCTGCCTATCAGCTCTTATTGTATCACTGCTGTTTCTCTGCGGATGTATTCCAGGACTTCAAGCTTACCAATCTGGAAAGCAAAATGATTGAGACTGAATGTGCCATGACTGAACTTGAGACCACTGCATCTCAACAACTACATGGCTTGGCTAAACAGAGTGGGCAGGCTTTGGAAACTGTACAGAAGAAGCTGTTGCTCACCAATGACAAAGTAGAAGAGTTCATGACATTTGTGAAGGTTTGAGTTTTGATTTTCTTTTGAGTGTTCACCTAAATAAAGGTATTCTTGAGTGAAAGCAAAACGTAAAAGATCAAAGAAGGCTAATATTTGGTGCATTCCCTGTTGTGGAACAATCTTCACTGGCCTGGTGTCAGCTCTAAACTGGTCTACACAGGGAGAAAGAGTAAATGGCTCTAGTTCTCTCTCCTAGACCTCCATAGACTTCCATAATTTCTATTGGTCATATTTTTGCATATGGCTGCCAGCATACTTGTTCCCAAGAAAAAGTGCTTAGTCGTGTAGCAAATTACTCTGCAAAAAAAAAATTTCTCAACACATATTTAAGAAAATAATTCGTATCTGTTGATTATTGTGAATTACCTCATTTTCCACATGCATTACTTTTATTGCAGAAATATTAAATAAGAAAGCCTCTATATTGCAAAATTGAAAACAGTATAAAAGCAGTATGTGGAATATTCTTTTCTTCTTTTGGTTAAATACTTCAAAATCTGCTACAGCACATCATGCAATGATACTGTGTCTCTAGTGTTACAGAGATCACTTCATAATACTACTTCAGTGTGAAGTTCTGCAGAAAGGACTGATCTGTGTTTTGTAACTTAACATTTGATATATAAATATTATTATATATATCTACTACAAAACTAAGAATTATAATGCCTATTCAGTATATATCTATATTGAATTTAGCATTTATCAACTATATACCCACTTTCAGACAAGGTTATATCTTACTAGCCCATGAAAAAGATCCACTTCTCCACTGTTCTTGGATTTCTGTAGAGGTGAGCTCCTTTCAGATATGTTTGAGCAAGTCTGATAGCATCTCAAGTAAAGACCAGTGGTATTTTGATGCACTGTAAAAAGAAGGCATATATAGTTCTCTCTTCATTAATAACTTTCCACTGTGGATTGATAATTAGTAATTTAAGTACTTGTGCATTTTAGCTTCTTTCTGTCATCATCAGATAACAAGTCACTCTACAACCATCCATGTTCAGTTCAGTTGCAAAATTCACATGAACTTCATTATGAAAAAAGACTGAACAATGTTGAATACACTTTAAAATACTAAATTCAAAGAATTGGTAAGCTAAAATACCCAAGGTGGAAATGAGTATTGACTTTCATGAAAAAAAATGTACCTGTGCCATAAAAAAATGAGTTATTTTAATTTTTAAGTTTGTGATTAAAAGAAAGGCTATCTTCTGTTTGCCTTGTGTCATAATCCTTGGGAAAGTGGTACAAAACTGATCACTGTGCCCCGTGATTCAGAAGTATCTTGCCTATTCATGAGCAAACTGTTACTGGGAAAATGTACTTTCTTCCAATATGGGGTGTTTCCTGTAAGAGCAAGAAATGAAGGTTCTTTTCACAGCTACATGCTTATTTTTGGCTAAGTATGGGAAAGTCTGAATTAATCTAATGTATTCTCCAGTTTCTTTAATTAAATACTCCTATGTCATTGATGACAGAGATATGCAATTCAGTCTCCATTCAGGCTGCTATAAATTTTGGAATTACTTAACTGAATAAACTGCAGTAGCAATTATAGACAAAGGAGATAAACAATTGTTCTTACTATCAATACTTTACATACTTCCATACTGAAAAGTTTGTCAAAAATTAGAAAATAAAAAAGTAAAAGATCTTCTGGTCTCAAAAGTAGCTGTAATGTGGAAAATCACCTATAAGCAACTACTATGATACTTCATTGTTGAATAAGATGACTGATTCTCTGTCAGTTACCATGAATATTCATAAGCATTTACAGGGTTGTACTGAATGTGAAAAGAATGTTAATATATAGTTTCAATAATAATAATAATATAATAGGCTAATAAAGTTAAATATGTAGTTTCTCCCCTGGATAAAAGAATATGCATGCACATTTAAAATAACATTTTTGCTGACTACTGTTGCTCTGCAGAAAGATTTCTTGAAAATAAAGATGCTGTCTATAAGTCAAATATTGATGAACAGGGAGTTCCTCAGTAGACTGCTTTGTTAGTTAGGTACTAAATATTTATGGACAAAAAGTTGTCTGAAATCAGATTCACAGTATACCACTGTAAAAAATATAGTTGAAAATCCTCAGCATTTCATTGGAATTCTGTAGCATATCAAGTAAACCGTGTTAAAATACCTCTTAGATATCTGATGCTATAACCTGCATAGGAGGATTGAGGTGGCACAATAAGATGTAGCAGTACTCCTTCCTGTATCAGCTCTTCATTTGAAGTCTGGTCTGTCTCATTTCTACTCTTTCCTTCCAGGTGGCTGTCAGTTTTCCCGTGACCTCAGTTCTCACTCAAGTTTCAGTAACTCAAATAAGTTTTTCTGTACAGAGATCAAGTTTAATCAAGTTTAAACAGTCTCTTGCTTAACCTGTTTAACATACTTGTATGACCCTCTTCTCTTTGCCTGCTATTCTGATCACAAGCCTTACTTCTTTCTTGAGTGCAATTCCCATTAATCCACTGAATGCAGTTACTTTTTCTAGCTGTTCCATGTCTCTCTTGACATTATATATTTCTTTTTTTAACATACAACAATTAAATTTCAGCATTGCTAATTAATAGCTAGAGCTAATAATAGGACAACAGAGGAACTTCAGAGAAGATGTGTGTCTCATTCTGTTTATAGCAGACACTGCTACTTGCCTTCAGAGTTATTGATAACTCAGAACCACAGGATCCTGAATCCATTTGGCTCAAGTACTAAGTTACAAAACCTGGGGGAGAGGTTTCTGGTAGGAATCCGATATACACCACTGGATCAAATTAGAGGATATGATGAGTTACTTGATGAGCACGTATTTGTAATGTACAATAAAGTGTTGCTCAAATAAAGCATTGCATTGCTATGGGGAGCCAAGTTTCGAACACTTATGCAACTAACTAAAATTGCTAGATTGTAAGATCTAGTAATAGTTCCTAAAAATTGAGGAAGAAATAATTGCAATCAAAAGTTGCTGCATCCAGTGTGCTGTAAGTCATTATTGGACATATTTTTTTGGAGTGTGGTATAGGGATCAGGTGTTATGTCCTAAATTACGTTCAGTGGGAATCAACAGGGAACCTAAAATAGGTTGATTCAGAGCAGCCCCTTTCTCCAGAGCTGTTACGAGCAAGATACAGGCTAGTAGAAAATATGAATAGAAATTGAGCACTGTATCAGTTTATTAAGTAACCAAAAACCACAGTTCCATAATTAGAGGGTAGCTTCTTATAAATATCTATTTCAGTTAGATAGGATAGAGACCACAATATTTAGAAATAAAAAGGCAATACAAAGGAATTGGAAAATGCATTATAGATAATAACCTGAAAATATGAGCAGCAATAGAGTATGGAGCATGGAGAAGAGGCTAAAGATATCAAGATCGAATCTGTGGGTAGCAAGGCTAAGAACAATAGTAAAGGGGCAGGATTTAAAAATGTACTAGTAATAAGATAGCTATTAGAGGCTGAATAAGACCCATTATTAAATAGATAAAACAGCTTTGTAACTGTGTAAAGATAGAAGTCTTGTATGAATATTTCTGGTTTGTATCTGGAAGGAAGTAAGCTAATGTTATATGAGGATGATGAAACACCCCAGTATATTAGGAACCAAGGGAGGACTTTAAACAATTTCTAGAAAGAAGTAGTATTTTTAAATTGAGAACTTTTATAGCTTACAACTTTATAGGGCTGGTTAAGGAATTTTATTGTTGCTGATCCTCATTTTGGATAAGCATTCAAAGTGCATATATACTATAACACTGCCATAAGTATTAGAGTAGTCTAAAAGAATGGTAATATTGAATCAATATTCAGAAAAGGCAGTCAGGATAGGTATTTTTAGGTCATTTAGTCTGACCTCATTTCTGGCTAAAATAGTGAAAATCTGATAGGAGATTAAATTATTAAAGTATTAGAGCATAGGAGTATAGTTACAATTCTTAGAATGGCTTTATGTAAAATAAGTTGCATTGAATAAATCTTTTTTCTGGAAGGCAGTACAAGTCAGTTGATAAAGGTTACTATTCATTTTAATATACTGCTTTTTAAGATGTCTGATCTGACACTGAGATATTCAGATAAAAAATGTAGGCTATGCAATATCAATAATATGTTAAATGGAGTAAAAATGGCCTGTGTGGGTGATCTGAAAAGTAATTCATGAAATTTAGGTGTTTCTAGAGTTCTGTAAAGATCAGAGCTAAACTTGATTATTAAACATTCTCATAGAATAGAGATCAAATCTTGATAAAATTTGTCAATGGCATTTATGAAGATTGATAAATAGTAATGAAAGTAAGGCTGTATGTATAATGTAAGCTAGGCCCAATGAAACATTTTTATTACAGAAGAACACAAACTACCTGTAAGGAGAACCAGGTGGCTCTGAGAGTATTTTAGATGCCTTTTATAAAACTACGTGTTTTCATCCCATCCAGCTTCCACACCAGCACCATAAATTCTCTTTGAACCATGCATTCAGTTTCTGTAGTGTACCATTGTTCAGTGTTTTCTGTAACATGTTTTGCACTATCAGATCCTCAGGTGGATCTTGCCAGCTATGTGCAGCACCACAACCAGAGCAAAATGTTCTGGTTTGTTTGTAGTGCCTGTGACAACACATGCAGAAAACAGCCATTGGATAAAGTTAAAAAACTATTAGACTACTTGACTGGATGTCTATCAAAAATAGGGTACAGCATACTAGTTTGCTATGAAACTGTCCAAAATTCTGGCTAATTCTTGAGGAATTCTGTTTTCCTGCATTACTGTACCCTTTTTTTCTTTTTTTTGGCTCACCTAGACTTTGACCATATATTGCTGTTAGAGATCCTTGTAAGCTCAAGTCTCAGTAGTGTTGTCTGTCCCATTCAACTTGTGCCTCAGCAAAACTCAATTCTGTAAGTTGATCTGCGGTGATGACATCTGCTTGAGCATGAAAATACCAGAACTTTGCTGACCTTGAGGAAGATGTTTTGAAGTTTTGAT